AACATCTAGTAACTCCCTTTTTTCCTCTGAGTAAGTGCTGAGTTTTTGAAAATCTGGTGCTTAGTGGTACAAATAGGGGCTGCTGGATGAAGACTTATTTAGAAAAAAATTGGACCTAATAGCATGATCACCTAATTTAGCTTTTTACAGTGTTGGTAAACACTATCCACAAACATTGATAAAGCAAATGCAACCAGACTGAAGATCTTGTATTTTACAGATTAGTTAAGAATGTATCTACTGACTAGGTAATCTAATTGTTTATGTGGGACTTCAAAGCAAAATTTCACTAAGTGTCATGGCTACATATAAAATCTGAGAAATAGAAGTATTCCTCCTTTATACGACCAGATATTTCAGACATACCATATATATAAAAATCTGAAATGTTTCTATTGCTGTTAGTTACTTTTAAAATTATCCAGAACACAACTTTGCAAGCTTATTTTCAGTTATGTGTGTGTATCTATCTATCTATCTATCTATCTATCTATCTATGGCAGTCAAATACAGTGCAGGCATATGCAAGATAAATGTATAATTGTGTATGCATGAGTCCTACATCTGCACGTCATCATTCATGCACTAGACCTGAAACCATCTCCTTCTCCAGTGTACAGCCTTTACAGAGCAAAACACTCTTCCCCACAGTCACTGAAATTCAATGTTTGTTTTCCAATGTGTTTATTTGCAAAAGTCTGTTCTATACTTAAATTACTATTCTCTGTGTAGTATTCTGGATATACAGAATACGAAACAATGGCTAGACATTTACTGAATTAGAAAGACAACTCAAGCTTGAATTTTGTTACAGACAGCACAGTATTTTGCATTTAACTTTACCGTCCAAAAGTATGGCAATACATTATAAAATATAGTCAGTATAACTGGGGTGAACTCTCTGAAATGAGCACATCAATCAGCTGAAACCTCAGCCAGTCAATGGTAACAACGTATCTTGAAGTTTTCAGCTGAAAACTTGGCTCTTTTCGGCTAGTCAAATACCATGCTCATGGTAAGGAACTTTATCACAACAGCATGAAAAAGCTGAAACTTCTCAATTTGGAGAGAAGGCTGAGGTGATGATACAATAAGTTAATAAAATCATAAAGGTGGTAAGGCAAACAAAACTAATTGGCACATCCCATGCTGTTAGAACTAGGAATACTCTATAAAGCTGCTAGATCCATTCAAAAGAGGCAAAAAAGCGCACTTTCTTAAACTGGGGGTGAACTTCTAGAAATTGTGGCTGTGGGAGGCTTTGGAGACAGACAGTATCAATGGGTTAATAAAAGGGTTAAAAAAATTTAAGGACACCATATCCTTTATGGAGCACTAAGAGGTGTGGTCAGGGGTGCACCCTCCAAACTCCCTAATGCAACAGTTGTGGACAGTGGTAGAGTAAGAGGGGAACAGGCTGTAGAGTGCTGATGTTCATGTGTTCTTCTGCAGCAGCACTCCTACGTCTGCTGTTGGAGATGGCCACTGGCCTGAACCAGCAGGGTGTTTGCCATAACCCCTTACCTTTTCCTGCTATTTGCATTTTAGGTAGACTGGAGGATAGGACAACAGGTGAAGAGAAACAGAAGCCAGTCTCACAGTTGCATTACTCCATTCAGTAAATTTAAAAAAGGCACAAAAATTATGTCTTTTTTTCTGGTTCTGTATGGCGACAGTAGCACAACCATTCAATCTTCAGGCAAGATAATTCAATTCTAGGAGCTGCTAAACCAGTTCCTACCAAATGTTTGAAGAGGAGGTCTGATAGCACAATGAAGCATCTTTGACTATCTCCATAATCACACAATAAATCTGAAAAGCTCTTCTTAAAGCCTGTGCACAATAAAGGCAAACCGGTACTCTATCAGGAATTACAGCTTAGTCCTTGGTATTCTATTGTTACAAATATGCATATATTTATTTGGATTTTGTTGAGATTAGAATGTATAGATTGTTGAAAAATGCAATTTGCACAGATGAGAAAGGTGAGCATATGGGACAACTTCATGAATGAAGGAAAACAGAATAACAGGAGAGGGAAGAAGTTGAAACACAGTTCCACATTTTCAGCATTCTGTAATTTTAATATCTGTTGCAAATACTGTTAGGTGAAAAAATAAGTTGTGGTTGTTGAATTAGATTTTTATTTATTAAAATGTCAAAGGCACAAAAAAGGCAATTATTGTATGCATGCTTGTCTCAAAAAATCTGGATAAAGAACCTATTTGCACATGCTTTATTACGTACTGAATTACTTTAACTGTCAAAATAATTATGTGATATGTGGCATTCATTTGCATAAAGTAATTTCTAAATAAAAAGCGGGCACAAACGTGAAAGAACAAATTCACGTATTTGTTGATATACAACATGCATTGTCTTCAAGAATACCTTTATTCTTAAAATTTTTAAAGTCTCAAAACTATTTGGTAGAATTAAGGCGTACTTTCTATCCCTTCATGACTCTCCATCGTTTAGGATACATTTTTGTGTGCACATGTGTGTGTGTGTGTGTGCATGAACATATTGGATAACTCCTTGGTAGTAATGTCTTCAATGCATGGAATTCTGATCTAGGTTAAGGCAGAATCTGGAATAATGCTAGCAATAAAAAATGGCTGATCAAAGACAAGGGCATTGTTATTTTGGTTCCTGACCACTACAGAAAGGATCCTATACAGGCCACAGGTATAGCCATATCAGTTATAACACTACATGCTCAGCAAGTAACAACACAGGTAACTCAATGGACAACTATTTCCATCAGCATTCAAGCATCAGCATTCATACTGCTAGTTTATAAAACAACTTGGTATTTTAAAACCAACTGTGACTAAAAACATTGTCTGAGCCTACATGCATGAAATTTCAGCTCACTGCTATCACAAATGAGGACAGTTTAAATATGCTCAATAGACTAATATGAGATTAAACTCTTATTTTATATTTCAGGTAGATACAAGATATCCAAAACTTTTGGCTCATGTTATACAAAGAGAATTCTATAAACTGGCAACACGATTTTATTTCCTAATAGATATTTGACAAAAGCAGCATACTTTTTTGCGTAAACACATATTGAGTGGGACAATGGCTGTGTGCTAAAATTTGAAGTCTCACAAACACCTGTCTAAGAAAGTAAGTAGAAAAAGTTACTGGCCAGGTACACTTGCTGTGCCTTCCTTTGACTTAAAGGTACTGATGCGGACTTATGTACTGTGCTTGCTCATATAGAAGTCTATCGCTGCCCTTCCCAAGAAAACTAACAGCTTTGAATATTTAAATATCAAAGCTTTCTTCTCTTGCCTCTCCACCACCAGTGCCATGCTGGAAGAAACATAAAATTGCACTCATATCAAACTACACATCTGATAATTGTCTCAACTTTACTAATTTTGATTAAATATATTTTTTTTGTACACTGCTGAATGCTGCTGCTTTAAAACTCTTGATGAATTTCTGCTTCGCGGTATCTGCATTTCCCTGCTGAATGATAACTTTGTATATATATTATATACATGTATATAACGTACATTATATACATGTATATTGTATAACCTGCATCTTAGCTTCAACTACACTGGAATCCACTTGGATGAAAAGCCTCAAATAAGTAATAACTGTTAAAATTTCCAGAACAAAACAAAAGTAAAACCCACATTAAGGCAGAGTTAAGATTGCAAAGGAATATCAGTTACTTAAGGTATAAAGTGTAATGGCATATTGTATAAAGCACAAATTATCCCAAAAGTAAACATTCCAAAACCCCCAGGAAACTCAAGATTAAGGATAAAAACTTAAAAGAAATCCAAACATCTTGAATTATTGAAATGTAATATGAAAGCCTCCAGAACAAACTTAGATCAGCCCTGCAGCAGCACCATGTTGTAAGCCAGCAATTATGATTAATACATTTTAGTATCTGTGGCCCTAAATTAGCCTAATGTGTATTTCAGAGTTAGTAACTTTTCATTTTGTTCCTTTGCGTGCAGCAAATGACTATGACAAGCAATGGAAGGTGAGCAGGAGAAAAATAATGATATATAAGCATGTTATTAATTTCACTGGGGAACTGGTTATTACTTGATTATTTAGAAATACAAAATGTCCATCATAAGAATGAAGCTACAAGCAAAATACTGTTGCACAATGTTTCATCACTGTGAGAAGAAAACTTTTCTGGCTGGACTAATAAAACTAAGTCAGGAAAGGCTCCAATAGATTTAATAACTTGTTAAAAAATAAGCAAATGGGACTTCAATTCTTAAAATTACAGAATGATCAAGGTTGGAAAAGACCTTGAAGATCATCTAGACCAACCATTAACCTAACATTGACAGTTCCCAACTACACCATATCCCTCAGCACTGTGTCGTCCTGACTCTTAAACACCTCCAGGGATGGGGACTCCACCACCTCCCTGGGCAGTCCATTCCAACGCCTGACAACCCATTCTGTAAAGAAATGATTCCTAATATCCAGTCTAAACCTTCCCTGGTGCAACTTGAGGCCATTCCCTCTTGTCCTATCACTTGTTACTTGGTTAAAGAGACTCAACTCCAGCTCTCTGCACCCTCCTTTCAGGTAGCTGTTAGAGGGCAATGAGGTCTCCCCTCAGTCTCCTCTTCTCCAGACTAAACACCCCCAGTTCCCTCAGCTGCTCCTCGTATGACCTGTGCTCCAGACCCTGCACCAGCTTCGTTGCCCTTCTCTGGACACGCTCGAGTTATTCAATGTCGTTTTTTAGTGAGGGGCCCCAAACTGAACACAATAATCGAGGTGCGGCCTCACCAGTGCTGAGTGAAGGAGTAAGATCCCTTCCCTGTCCCTGCTGGCCACACTATTTCTGATACAAATTAAATGCAGAAATGAAAATCTGAGAAACAAGTTACCTATCTAATCTAACTGGGAGGACAGAACTTTTCTATGGAACAGTAAGAAAAAAACAAGAGTAAAAGGTGATGAATGTTTGCCAAAAAATTCAAGTCCCCAAACACTCATTTTCAAAATCATTTTATTGCAGTTGGATAATAGAGATAAATACCTAAGAGCAAAATCCAGTAAGTCACATTTATTTTTCCTTTGGAACACTTCTCCAAACTGGTTGTGTTTTATGATAAAGAACAAAAAGTTGCACTACATTTCAGAACATTTTGTTCTTTAAAACTGGTCAGACAGGTGGGAGATATTAAAGTACTACAAATTAAATGAATAATTTTCCACTCCAGCTTCATTGCCCAAATTGAACAAGTCCAAGCAAAAGAAACCATGACTTTTTTCTGCTTTGGAGATGCATATCAGCTGATGATGCACTTCAAGCTATATTAATTTGATTAAAAAGTTTATCCTTAATAACCTGAGACATCAATCCATGTATAGCTTCTATGGTGGTCTTGCAGCTGAAAAACAAGCATAAATTTAATGTTGGCCAAACACTGAGGTGTCATTTTATTTGAAGATATTCAGCTGTCTTGGAAGTTCAGGGTGCCCATAACCCCATGAATCTTAACAACTGTCCAGAAAGGAAAAGTCACACACAGCAATTTATCCACTGTTGCCAATAGCCTTTTGTTACTTAAAAAGCAAATGGACAAGCACTACACACACAAAGACCAATTCCAGAAAACTCTGGAAATTTAGGACATTTTACATTAACAATAGCAAGTGAGCTCTGTGGCCATTGGAACCAAAACAATAAACAAAAATAATCCCTGGAGGATTAATAACAGCTACCAGCTGTTATTAATACCTGAAGGCTCTCACTGTTCTCTCCCTTATCTCCTTTGCCCAGCCGCAGGCCAGTATTGCACAGTAACCACAGTTCCTCTGAGAAACTTCAGAGAGAACATTAAAGGAAGAGTTTATAGAGCTAATCAGTTATTATGTAACATTAATATGTAACGTGCAAAACCGCCAAACAGCTAAGAGGATTCCTATAGATCCAAGTTTCATCCAGTATGCCTGGCTTAGGGAGATGTAGCATCAAACTGACACATAAAAATGTCCCGAAACAGACTATACAAACACAAAAGATAAATTAGCCCTGAAGGCATGGAAGACAGGGACAAATTACTACTACATAGATAAAGGAATCCTAGGCAAAGGAAGATGGCTTGGAGCACAGTCTGGCTAATACATATGTACTCTGAGAAAACAGCTCTTAGAGATGTGTATGCTCAATAACAGAAGAGATCATATAGCCAAGTGTAAGGACCTTTATGCTAATGTCTTACAGTATTGTTTTTCCTAAAACAGGGACATCCAATAATCCTTTATCAAACTCTGCAACCTTATTTCTTGAAAGTAAGTTAGGTGCTGCTGAATCTATTGTCCTGGTGTCTGTGTAAGTATTCTACTGTCTCTTTTCTTAGGAAAGATTATTAGTTGAAGAAAACCACGCATCTGTAAAAGAGCTACAATTCATTTTGGGAACTACAGTAGCCTCTGTTACACAGGAAAGCAGAATTGATGACAACAATCCCTTCCAGCCTTACAATTTATGAACTAACTACTGATGATGACTAAATAAAAGCAGAAAAGAAAAATCCCTAGAAATGCTGCAAGAAATAGGATGATCAGAAAAGGAGCTATTTCTTAGAATAACTGTAAGCCTGTGAGAGTAACATGAAAATAAAAATTGGTCAGTATTATGGGACACCAAACAGATCAAAATCAAAGCAAACTTGTCAGCAACCCCACCCTTCTAATGTCTTTAAAGTACTGCTATTATAACTGTTTCACTACAGGAACTGGGAGGTAGCACTTAACCTGGCTGTTGTGAGCTGGCAACAGCCTTAACTCCATTGTAAATATCAACAGATATTAACTTCTAGAAAGTCAATTCTCCCTTGAACTTGATCATGTTTGTTAGAAAACTTGCAAAAGCTGTTAACTTTCCATAACAAAGAAAAAAAAAATCACGGAAGACACTAGCACAACAGCAACTCTGATTCTCTTCAGCAAGGACCATATTACATTTACAGGTATTCCCTCACTGCTTACTGTGGAACAAAAGGCTTGTCCAACACAAGCTGACCACTCTCTTTGTTAAGGCAAAGCCCGTGTTCACCTGAGTCATACTGAGCTAAATGTAAAATTATTTATAATCAGTTTCTTCACACAAGGCCTCCTTTTTGTTTCTTCATTTTTTTTTTTTACTCATCATTAAACTCACCACTCATGTGGCATCTCAGAAATCAGTCCCTTAGTAAAGTTTGTACTATGGCACATATTGCCAGCTTGTGGGGGGCAGGGGAAGAAGATATAAGAAAACTGTTCTAGTTATCAGGATAAAATGAGGAAGGGGACCAGTAAACCTCCAAATCTGAAAAGTAGAACATCCCAGATTTTATTCAGCTTTTGCAGTCTATTTAAAGGGATTCTACAGAACTGTTCCCTTATTAAATGGAATTGTATCTCACCCAAAACACCACTAAGATGCATGCAGGGGAGCCCTGCCTTCTCCACAGATGAACTTGAGACTGTACTAGCATGTAGAGTGCAGTACTTCTTGGTTTTCAAAGTCTGGAATTTGCCAAATATAATATTCTTGAACAGCCCAAGATACTGTATGACTTGTTGGATACTAATACCCTTTGTTAAAGATTTTACTTGGAAAAATGGTGACTATAACATTATATAGACAATGTAAGCACACATATGATTAAGATTACAGGGAGAAAGATGTATTAGTGAGAAGCAACTTTTGTACCTCAAAGCTCAAAAAAGAGCTGATTACCAACAAATGTATAAGGAACACTGAGGGAAAACACTAAAACTTCTCTGAAATAATGCTGTACACCCAGTGATAAATTCATTAACTGATAATAGCAAGTATTTGCTATCAGTCAGGGTAGCTAAATATAAAGGCCAGAATGTCTGCAACGTACTTCTTAAAAACAAAACAAAACATACCAAAATAAAATTACTCATTTGTGGAAAAAAAATGTATTAAGAATATGAGAAAAAGGAAGTTCTTAATTTTTAAGTGAGTTGAAGTATTACATAAGTGACATAAGTGTAGACTAAATTACTGGACTCTTAGCACTAGTTCTTAAAATCATGTTCTAAGTAATAATGTTATGTACTGTTAGTTTAAACCTGATTAACCACATAAAATGTGCATTGTTCTACCGGTGCTACCATTTTTCATTTGACAGAAAACACCTTTTTGGATTGCCAAATATTTGTGGAATTTAACAGGGTTTTTTTGTTTAGTAAACTATAAACTGGAGTTGAATTTATTCCAGAAACAAAGACTGAAAAGCCATTGTAGGTTTAATAAAGGCAAGGTTTTCTTAAACTTTCAAAAATATCTAGTAACATTTGGAGTCTTTAATTCTTATCTATAACTAATAATTGTTATCTATAATCTCGGTAGGTTACAATTTAATTGGTAGGTTACAATTACAGGCATGATAGAAGTTTAAGTAACATTTTTCATAGGGATGAACACAAGTATGCGTTACCTTACCTGTCTCTTGTTGCTTTTGCAAGTTTGTCTTCTGATTTCTTATCATGAGTCTCTAAACCCAGCATGAAACTGCCCCTTCCAAGCTGAGCTTCTGACTGTTCTAATTTTTCAGACAAATCAAAGACTTGGCCAGTGGTGTAGTCAGCATTCTTAAGAGAAAGAAGGCAATAAACACACTGAATTCTAAGCTATAAATTCATGCATTTATACACAAAATAAACAAAATTAAAAGAGCCTTTAAGACTGTAGTACTGCCCATTTTAATCTATGTCTACATTTGAAGTGATACAGAACATGAGTGGCACACAAGTGGTGTTGAGAGAACAGAAGCTGAACATCTGACAAATAATACCTAAAACTGGAAAGGGGCACTCCACTACTTTCTGCTCATGCCCTCAGTTATGAAAGAGTGAGTAAAACTCAGCTGGTTTTGCCCAAGAGAAAAGGTATAAAACCAGCTTTTGCAGAAGGAAGGTTTTGATGCTGAGCTGTTACACTGAAGGTCTACCTGCAGTATTTCGGTTGCAACCTCGTTTTAACAGTTCCATTGTTTCTTTTTTTTTTTTTTAAAGTGTTTACTTATTCAGTACTATTATTTTAAGGCATACTATTCATTACAGTGCTTTAAAGAGATGTAAGGTTAAAAGGTGTTTAATACAAAATCTAAGGTATAGAGAAAGCAAAATGAAACATAAGTTATTCTCACCTTCTACTTTTAAAGATCAGATATGAAGAACACACAGTATTTGTGATTAGGAAAACCTTCCTTTCTTGTTTAATCTGACAAATAGTTTCTTAATGTGGGATGTGTATCTATCAGTGTCCCACTGAGGATTTTAAAGCAGAGGGTCTGGCTTTCAGCACTAATTAATATATGCACATGATGATAGCATACTATGGTACTTACAGTAAGCAAACTAGAAGAACTAAGAGTGTTCACCCAGTACTTGTTCCACAAAAGCTCAAGCAATTTACGATCCAAAGATGATTTAAAGTATGAGACTTCTAAAGCATAATACCTTTAAAAACAAACAAGCAAACAAAATAAGCTTTCATCTAAATATATCTTGTTTGGCTGAGACTCCCAAAGTACATGCATCTCAAAAAATCCTTATCAATGGCAAATATCTTCAAAAATTCAAAGCAGTGAACAATTCAAAAGTTATCCCCAGTTCCAATTCTGTCTCTAGAGATTTTCTGTAAGTATTTAATAAATATAGCTTTAATAGAGGTACACATAATCATCACACGTACTGCTGTGTTCTATTTAATGAGATTGCAAGGGTTTTTAAATTATTCTCTTAACTTCTCGTGCAATGCAGTGATGCCCTGTTCCATGCTTGGAATCTTCAATACTGTAATAAGTGTTACTTACAGATGACTGCAGTTTTGCATATATCACCTCTAATTGAGTTAGGAATTTTGATAGCAGTAAATGTTAGCAACAGGCAAACAACAGGTTCTACACCATCTGTTTTGAAAGCCAGGCTTTAGTGGTGCTACAGAAGTTGCAAGAGATGATAAAGCAGATAGAAAGTTGAGCTATGAGAAGTCATTAGTGTAGGTGAATTACAGCAACATTAAAGAGCTGTATTAAAGTTTATTTTGATCAAGAAATTCTTGAACAGGTTATCAATAATCCTATTATCTCTTGATTTCTATAGAAGTTATTTTGCTTGGCATTTCTGTAAGAAACTCCATCTGACATAACAATGCTTTAACATCTACAAACACACCACATGTTAGTATTTCTGCAATAGAACAAATACCCTTATTTCACATATGCTAAGAAAAATGAGATACTAAGCCAGTTCTTCAAAGACATATGTGTCAGACACAAAATTAGAAATTCAAGTTGTTTGAGGAATAGTGTAATAAACTTAATTAAAAAGATGAGATGAAAGCAGTTTCACACTGGGCATTGAACACCAATGAAAGGAGAGAAGTTTGACTAAGATTATCCAGTCTGCTACTAAAGCAATTAGTAGTCACTGCCATTCCAGACAGGATCATTAAGGGTCTAGAGCACAAGATTTATAAGGAGTGGCTGAGGGAACTGGGGTTGTTTAACCTGGAGAAAAGGAGGCTTAGGGGAGACCATACCACTCTCTACAACTATGAGAAAAGGAAAGGAAGGGAGGTTGTAGTGAGGTGGGTGTTGGTCTCTTCTCCCAAGTAACAAGTGATAGGATGAGAATGAACAGCCTCAAGTTGCTCCAGTGGAGGTTTAGATTGGATATTAGGAAAAATTTCTTCACAAAAAGGGTTGTCAAACACTGGAACAGGCTGCCCAGGGAAGTGGTAGAGTCATCATTCCTGGAGGTATTTAAAAGATGTGTAGATGTGGTGCTTAGAGACATGGTTTAGTGGTGAACTTGGTAGTGTTAGGTTAATGGTTGGACTGAATGACCTTAAAGGTTTTTTCCAACCTAAATGATTCCATGGTTCTATGATCATCATTCAAGTTCTCTAAATATTTAATTCTTAGTCAGACTACCCATACTACTGAGAGGACACCACCACTCCAATCTTTTGTATTATCAGTAATTCAGTAGTGTGACAAATTTCCAGTTTTAATTCTCTCTCTTTGACTAACTGATATTTCCTTCTAGGAATGACTGTTTTTTTCTTGTTTTGGATGGAAAGAAGTGGCTTGTACAAGAAGCCCGCTTCCTGAGATGGAGATTATAACGATTACTATTAAGCACTTCCAACTTCAAGAAAAATCACTGAATGAACTCTCCCAAACTGACCACCTCTAAAACAGAAAAGAAAATATATGCTCCTTTCATGCTTAAAAGCATGGGTTTATGGCCAATGCCATAAGGACTACTATGAAATAACAGGAACATGACAGTTCTACAAAGATTTCTGTGTAGCTACCATTCCAGATTTTTCCTCAAATTGGATAGGAAGACCAATTCCAATTATTTTATTTTTTTTGATCTCTTCAGGGTCAGACTTTGCACACAACTATAAATGCACTAAAGAATCCATACACCAAAAACATGAAAAAAACTATGCAACAGCCTACGGGACACACTGGTGTCAATGAGATCTTCAAGTTCTCTGTACACAGATGCTTAAGATGTAGTGCTTGTCAAATATCTGGATGTAAAATTGAAACCAAGCCATTACTGAAAGAAGCAGTCCCATCTTTCCTCATCTGTTCTCTGTAAACGCTGTGCCTCCAACATCTGCCTCTACTTTCCACCCCACCTTAGTTTAACCAGCAAGGCCATGTGCATTCCCACAAGCTCCACCAGGATCAGGGAAATGACCTGGCAAAACAAATGTCTCACCAAATAAGGAAAAGTAGAGATGAAGTGAAGAACGTGTAGCTGGGGATAGAACAGTTAAAGAAAGAATGGTTAAAAGTAAACCACCTTTTTAATTCATGGAAAGTAAACTAGCAGGAGAGAAAAAGGACTAATTCTTCCTGTTGCTGATGTTACCCTTGAAGCAGCTCCACTTTCCAATCCTACCAAAGACAGAAACAATCTTAACACGCCCAGTGACACAGGATAAAGAGATGCACAGCACTTGCCACTACTCAGAAGAGCAGACAGATTACAATCTCCCTAGCCCTGCTGCCAAATCTACATCTGACCCTTTCCTCCCTGCACTAAGAAAACACTGCTTAAAGGTGTTCAGGAATCAACTGCTAAAGCATTAAAACAGGTTTATCTTCATAACAATTCTCCCTTAAAGTATCTCCTAATAAACACCAGTAACACTTTTCCACAAAATCAACAGTGCTAAAGCAACAGAGAACTTAAAGATCTGAAATACTTCAAGAAATCTACTTTTCCATACTGAATCACTAACCTAAGCACAAAAATTGAGAACTTGTGCTAGTTAGTAGTTTTTACGTTACTTACTGTTTACAATGTACACCAAAGTCTTCTATTTTATTAAGTGGAATAGTCTGGTATTCAGAGGGGCCTTCATCTGGAGGTTTATAGCCCTAAAAATTCAACAAAGGGCAGAGATGACACAGTAATTTGGGGACTTTTTAAAATGCCTGAACTCTCTGAAAGCACTTGACAAAAATTCTCATTTATGCAATGCTAGTTATTTTTCTCAGAGAAAATTAAATTTCCACCAGTAATCTGAAATTCAGAATTTTCTTGGATCTCAGAGTTACATATGGCTTTACTAGCAGTCATTCATTATATTTGCAGGTCTATCAAAAAGCATGTTGGAAGCAAACTAGTGGTCATAATGGAGATTTTTTCAAACAAGTAAGATGACAAGCTATGATTGGATCATTTCTTAGATCAAAGAAAGAAGGAGCTTATTCTAAGATAACATTTTCTATTCATTCTTGGAAGTGATTTCAATCCTTTTTTGAGGTAAGATAGGAGGCATGAGAAGAGGAAAGAAATAACCATGCCTTGGATATGCCTTACGGATACCTAAAACTTCGTTACTTATTTTGCCAAGATGGTGCCACTCACAGCTGCTGACTAGGCAAGAACTGCCTGCAGACCACTGCGAGGACTCCCTATAAATACGCTTCTAACGTGCATTTTCTATAGACGATTTGGCTTCCAGGTGCAGGATTGTTCTCCCTGCTCAAAATTCTGAAAGTATGAAGAATATTCTCCTAAATCACTAACTATTCTAAGATCTCTCCTCTATTTGTCAACAAAAAAAAAATAACGATTGAATGCAACTGGGAACCTCTCACATTTTTATTAAAGTTTTACTGGATGTCAGCCTGAAGTTCTTGATGAGTCAATAATAACTAGAAATTTGAAGGGTATACCTGAACTTTACTAGCTTGAAATTAAATAACACAGATATAGTTCTACCAGAAGTATAAATGAAAGACTTCATTTGGAGATCTAGAACTCCAATATTTATGTGATTTTCTCAACTTAAGCCTAACCCTTCAATATTGTTTAATAAACTTTTTTTTGGTACATTATTTTGTAAAAATTAATAATATTTATTTGTAAGAGTTAAGTAGATAGTTTTGAATCTTTGTTTTCTAAAATGAAAAACAGATGACAACATATTAAACACACTATTAACATTTGATTTCTAGGTCTAAAAAATTATAGAGAAGAATCAACATAAATGCTCTGTTTTGATGAATGCTACCTACAACTATATCCATTAAAAAATGGCCATATGGAGCTATAGAATTTCAGGACAACCTCACTACCTAGACAGTCTATTTTATTTTATTTAACACTGCCAAAAATCTACAGAAAACAAACCAGAAGTCAACCTTTATAAACATAATCAATATCCAAACCCATGCAATAACTAGTATATCAGCACATCTTTCTTTTAGAATGAACAGTACAAAACACTTGCAGTAATCTTTAGAACCAATCTATTACTTATTTAGAGACAGTTTAGTGATCACACACTAGATAATTTTAACTATTTACCTTAGGATATGTCCTAAATGCTCCAAGATTTACTTTTCCTGCAGATATTGTTCTTGTTGGATCAATCTGCAAAAATGCAAGTGATGCTTGTTATATGCATTTTATAAATTATTACAGCCATGTATTAACTTTACAATAATTGCATTACAGGAACTTAATTAGTGCAAATTGTATTAGCTTTGTGATGAGCAGTACTTTTTCCGTTGTCATCTTTTGGTACGAGAGACTAAAAAGATGGGAATACCAATAGCCTTCTATGGACCGGTTTTCCAAACTACTTTTCAGTGTTTCCCAAGTACTTTATGTGTACCAATACCCTGTTTAATTTTAAAAGTAATTCAGAAAAGAAGAAGAAAAAAAAAACCAAGGAAAAAAAGCAGTCCCAAGGAAAGTGTTTTGAATCTGTGAAATTATGTCATAACATGGGAGAACTCACACATTGGAAATACTTCTTAAGGGTTATTTATCCATTTTTAATGTAATTCTTCACAGAATTATATTCTTTCCTTCTGACTAATTTCAGTCTTTTTTTCCTTTTTTTTCTTTACTATCAATGGTTATATAAGTAGTATCTAAAATAAGGTTTACTTTTGTTTTCAAATGCAATCTGAAGCCTGAAAGACCCTGAAGGGCCAAAAGAGTTTCTTCAGATTTTTTCTTCACAGATTTCCTAGTGTCTTCTACCTTGTACTATGCCATTAATTTATTTTAAAAGGCATTTTCGACACAAACTAATAGAACTCTGTGAACACACTTTGCTCAATTCCACAGAAGCAACAAAGAAAACAAAAGAAACAGATTTTTGTTCTGTTGAAGGAGGTTGAATATGGGTTGCACAACACATTTTTTTCAAAAGTGTCAAGTAGAACTTTAGGTTAAGAATAATGCATGGATTTGTACAGAGCTACCATACCTGGGACAATGCATCAAAACTGGCCTCGGTAAGCAATATTACTGGTTTGACCAGTATGTGGTCAGCAAAGCAAAAGGAGCAATACAAATTTAGAACTTGGATCTAACACTTCCGTCATGCAAAATACACACTACTAGAATGTTAACAGACAGAAATCTAAAAATTATTCCCCCCTCAAGATAATGCGCTATGCAGTTTTATCAACTATCATCCAGTACTTACAACCACTGCTACAAAGGGTTCTTGAAACTGCTGATTAAGCATCTGTGTACTGACGTCGATCCCAGAGAGCCAGCAGCCATAGCCAGGGTGACTGTGATACCAGCCAATTGCATTTTCTAGACGACCAACCTAACAGCAGTGAAGGAAAACAAATCCAGTGTTAATCTCCCTTCCGAAAGTACCAGCTGCCCTCTACTGGGCCTTCCAGCACACTACAACACGGTGAGAGAATAAAAAAGAACACACAAGCCCGCTGTGCCAAATTACTGAGTACTAAACATACACCTTACTTTGCTAATACAACAAGTGGTATGGCTTCTAGAGAATAGTTTAGCATTCTCTGTTACAGCTACTACCACAGAACAAAGAACTTCAAGGAGTCAGGAGCTCCTTCTTCAATGACAGCTGGAGTACATAAGAGATTCCACATAGTGAGATAGGAAGTAAGCTGGGACTCTTCAGCATGGAAGAGAAATTTCTTAGGGTGGATATGACACAAGTCTATATAATATCATATAATGTATGGTATGTCAGTAGAGAAAGAACGTTCATTATTTAGTACAGTAACACAACTCAGAGGCACAGAGAGAGATTATTGCCAAGTTTAAAAAGTGACTTCAGAGGCATGTTTTTGAACACCAGAAGTGGCAGAAATTATTGACAGAGTATGTTGTAGAAGCCAAAAGATAAACTTCTGGGATTTTTAGGATGAGAAAACTTCAAAATAGGAGTTTACAAATACTACCCCTGGCTATCTACACAAATACTGGAAGAAAAATGAACAAACCAACCAAAAACCACCTCGGAGAACAAACATCTGTTGCACCTAATTTTGTAATCCTCTCTCAGGAACTGCTTACTGGCTGCTCCATACTGAGTTGAGTAATTTTGGTGTGACCCTATATGCCAGTTCTTAACTGAGAGTTGTGCGTTTGTATGCATCACCTGCTTGGTTTTGCCAAATAATGAATACGTCTGAAGGTTAAATCAGAAAAACATTAAGATGAGACAAGAACACGCAAACTGCCTACTGAATGGAACATTTATTTTATTTTTGAACTGGTAAATAATATTTGTATTTTCTTTACATCTCCCATGACAAAGAAGGAGAGACCAACAAAACACTACAGAATGTGTTATTTTCCAAAGCCAAATAACACATTTTTACTGTATTAACAACAGATCCTGCCCATGGAGAAGCAAATAACTGGAACATTGGCACCTGTAAAGTACTTATGCAGGAGAACAGATCAACTTGTAATCTAATATTAAAAAGAGTTAATCCAGGAACAACTGCTTGCCAAAATCAGACAGGGAATAGCCAGTATGCAAACTCTGCCAGAGCACCAGTTCAGATGAGTTATATTTGCACACAAGTTCAGTTTCAACACTGTGAAACCAACTATAGACAAAACTGTACAATATAAACAACTAGAAAAAAATGTTTCCTATCATGTGTACTCCTACATAAACCTGGACAGTTTTAAACATAAGATTACTAACTGTATATAAAAAATACTATCTTTACATTGTATACTTACTATTTTGAAACCCATTATTTCTACCTAAGAACTGGATAGTATATCTTTAGGTAAAGACATCTTTTCACATTACCTACTTTTCTGCAACAATGGTATTAATATCATGACATTAATAGTTTCCAGATAAAAGGAATTAAATAAATTATTTCTAAGTTTTCTCATAAATGGGGGCGAATTATTAAAAAACAGTCCTAGAATATACCTACTTCTGGATTATGTTTACTCTTTTCTGATGGTATGGCCCAGCCCAATTCACGTCTATTTAAATACCTCTAACTGTATACAAGGCTGTGGATGGAAGTACAACAATCCAGAATAACCCAAATACTGCTCGGTTATCTCCAGTGAATAAGTAAGGGGCCCCTAATTTTAGCTGCTTTAAAATACTTCCAAGGATTAAAGAAAAATCAAAGGGTAAACTGGGCTCCAAAACTATTTTAGCTTGAGGAGTTATTTCAACGTTTACTCATAGTACAGGATTGCACTGTATTGGAAGAAGCATGTCTGCAGGTCCTCTGATGCACCATGCTAGTTTTTACATCACCCACAGAGCAGATTCGTATTTCTGTCATCCTCCTGCATGCCAGAATTTTACTGCTTAGTCAGGCTTAATATGACATGGATCTCTGAATACAGGGTGATGAAGATGGGGAACAGACATCTGAGTCAGTTCATCTAAATTTCTAAATTATAAAGTTGCACTGAAAGTTATTTATTGGCATTTTCTTCACAAATGTCTTTGTTTTTATAGAAAACAGCAGCATGGCTATGCAGCAAGACTTCAGAAAGCAAAAATGTAAAAATAAATGTTATGTTCTTGATTTACAACTAGTAAGTACCTCAGATATATATATATATCTGATATTTTGCTTACTGTTTTTAGAAACATGTATTATACCAGTTATTCTAGAAACACACTTGTGTCTGGCTGCAAACCACCAGCTGCAGCCAGAAAAACACTTCCTGAGCAATAAAAACCACTTATGATGGAAAGGAGAATCCAGTACTTGATGACCTACTGTAAGACATGGAAGTATGTATGTGAAAATGTTAAAAGGGGTTGCTGCTGACACAGTTCTCTTAGCCATGCTTGAGAACAAACAGGGCGGCCACTTTATCTCTGTGGGAGAGGTGGAGGCAGGGAAGCCTGCACACCCCAGAACACGTTCCTGCACGACGAACTGAGAAGATCCACAGCCACACCGTGGAGGGAGAGAAACACCCTCTGCCCCTTCCCCGTACCTGCTTTGCGTTTTCAATGTACGCTGCCATGTACTCGTAGGCGGCCGCCTGAGCGTTGACGCGAGTCTCGGTGCCCTCCACGGGCAGGGCGAAGCTGTCCATGATGATCATGGTTTCCCCGTCCACCTTGCCCAGCATAAGCCCCATCACCTCCAGGTTGCCCCCTGACCTGGCGTGCATCACCATCTTCAGGAGCGCCAGCGCCGAGATCTTGCAGTACTTGAAGTAATGGTGGCTACGAAGAGAGAGGTCGCGGAAAGCATCAGGGCCGGCCCCGCCGCCCGGCCCGGCCC